TGTTAGTCAAGGTATACACATAGTACTATGTTTTGGAAATCACGTTGTTGCATCCCCAAGTGGTGGTATCAGCAAAGCTGTGGATGGGATTGATCGTTCAGGAGAGATGTAATAGAAACAATTTTGGGGCCAGACTGATCCCTCAGGAACCTCCGCGTTGAGTTGAAGCGGCTGGAGGGAAAGTCCCATCTGCAAAGCTTCTCTGGGATGCCAAAGGATGGAAGCGTGAGTGAGAAGACAGCATGTCACAGATAATCGAAGGTTTTCGTGATATCCAGAGCAACGACATCAGCCTCATCATGAGTTCACTCCACGTAAGCTGAGATCTCTCGTTGATCGCTGGTGCCAGAAAATATGCTACCTGTCGCTATCAAGATGTTCTCGCTATCTATGCTTATTTCCATCACCTTGCTGATGACAGAAAGCTGGGCTATAGGTCTGTAATTGTAATTGCCATTCCTAAAACCTATCTGGGATGTACAGAAGGTATAAAGGCCTATTCATACTCAGCCGTGACGTTACAGTGCTGTGACCGGCATGTAATCCGCCCGGTGAAACTAAAAACATTCTTCCTGTAATTTAGGTGAACTGATTCACACTAGACCGGCACGTGGAAGTTACCGTGTTCTCAGTGCCCTCTACGACGCCGTACCGTGTCCATCGCATTGCTTTGGAACGATATTTTTCGATTTTCACGGCCGTGTTTTTATGTAATTTCGTGAATATTTTGATATATTTGGTCAAAAACATGAATGATGGCAGACTAATTGAATTTATGTGCGCACATCTCGTGCTGTAGAACCAGTCAAATTCAAAATATATGGACTTTTTCTTCTCTCGTTTCTTCTTCATCCATAATTAATGCAATAAGTTCATCCTCTAAAAATTGGGCCATTTCGACCTCACGTGAACACGGAGTAAAATACTGACCGGTGTGAATTGAAAACACTGTGAGCTCACGTCAACGAGAATCACTGGGATGTCACGGCACTGTCACGTCACGGCTGAGTGTGAATACACCTTAATACCAGGACTAACGTTAGTTCTTCCAATACCAAGTTTGATATCAAAAAGTTGAGAATGGACATTGTTGCTGAGGGAATTATCATACAGATGTTCTATCTCCACGTAAGCTGAGATCTCTCGTTGATCGCTGGTGCCAGAAAATATGCTACCTGTCGCTATCAAGATGTTCTCGCTATCTATGCTTATTTCCATCACCTTGCTGATGACAGAAAGCTGGGCTATAGGTCTGTAATTGTAATTGCCATTCCTAAAACCTATCTGGGATGTACAGAAGGTATAAAGGCCTATTCATACTCAGCCGTGACGTTACAGTGCTGTGACCGGCATGTAATCCGCCCGGTGAAACTAAAAACATTCTTCCTGTAATTTAGGTGAACTGATTCACACTAGACCGGCACGTGGAAGTTACCGTGTTCTCAGTGCCCTCTACGACGCCGTACCGTGTCCATCGCATTGCTTTGGAACGATATTTTTCGATTTTCACGGCCGTGTTTTTATGTAATTTCGTGATATTTGATATATTTGGTCAAAAACATGAGATGGCAGACTAATTGAATTTATGTGCGCACATCTCGTGCTGTAGAACCAGTCAAATTCAAATAATAT